GACTCAAGTCCCATCTGTTTTCGTACTCGTCTCTCTACTTCACTCTCACAAATGGCTGTTCTCTCTGGGTGCTTCCGGGGCACAGTATGCTCCTTGTCCTCTGTCTGTCTCCGTGCTTGTCCCCCTTGTTCTCTCCAACTCGTACCCTTACTTCTCTCTCTCTCCCTCTTTCTCTCTCTCTCTCTCTCTCTCTTGCTGTTCTTCTCTCTAGGTGCTTATTTGGACACATGATTCTCTCTGGTTCCTCACTTGTCCTCCCTTGTCCTCCCTTGTTCCCTCCAACGTGTATCCTTTATTCCCTCCTCATTGCTGCTGCTGCTTTGGAAAGAACGGATTTCCTGGCCTCTTGTGTTTCTCCCTGCCTTTTTTCCTTTGTTCAGGTCACATTCCCTTACCCTCGGTCTCTACCACATGTTACCCTACTTACCTTCCTACTTGTCTCCAATTTGTCTCCGTATTCTCTCTCCACTACCGTGCTTCTTTCCAGGTCTCCAGCATTTGGGAGGGAGAGGATAGTTTTTCTCCTCTTTCCTTTCTTTCCTTCCTTGTCCCTGTGGTCTTTCCCAGCGGTTTCTTCACTTCTCTCCTCATTCCTGTTGTTCTCGCTTTTGGGACCCAAGATTCCCCTTGTCTCCCATGTGTTCCCATTTGTGTCCTTATTCAGCCAATTTTTTCCTACTTGCTGTTTTGTCTAGGCTTTAGGACCTCTTCATTTCTTTTTGTCCCTCCCTGTTACTGTTCTTCTTCCGGGGTGCTTCTGGGCACAGAATACTTTTCGTGGTGCTCGATGGCAAAGGATTCTTCTTGCCTCCCATTTGTTTCCATACTTGTCTCCTTGTCTGTTCCCAACTTGTCTCCTTATTTCTCTTTCTTCATTGCGATTCTTCTCTCTGGGTGCTTTCGGTCAAAGGAATCTCCTTGTCTCCCGTTCCTCACTTCTCTCTCCATTGCTCAGTGTTCTTCGTTCTGGTGGCTTTGGGGACAGGACTCAAGTCCCATCTGTTTTCGTATTCGTCTCTCTACTTCACTCTCACATGTGGCTGTTCTCTCTGGGTGCTTCCGGGGCACAGTATGCTCCTTGTCCTCTGTCTGTCTCCGTGCTTGTCCCCCTTGTTCTCTCCAACTCATGCCCTTACTTCTCTCTCCCTCTCTCTCTCTCTCTCGCTGTTCTTCTCTCTACGAGTAGGTGCTTATTTGGACACATGATTCTCTTCGTCTCCCATCTGTTTCCGTACTTGTCTCCCTTGTTCTCTCCAAGTTGTATCCTTAATTCCCTTCCCATTGCCATTCTTCTCTCAGGCTCCTTTCTGGCCTCCTGTGTTTCTCTCTACTTTTCTTCCTTTGCTCAGGCCTTTTTACTTGTCTATTAATTGCTGCTTGTCTCTGCGTGCTTTGGGACGAAACCTATTATCCGCTAGATTCCCTTACCCTCGGTCTCTACTACATGTTTCCCTACTTGCCTTCCTACTTGTCTACAAGTGGTCTCCTTATATATCCTCTCTCCACTACCGTGCTTCTTTCCAGGTCTCCAGCATGTGCGACTTTTCTACTCTTCCCTTTCTTTCCTTGCTTGTTCCTCTAGTCTTTCCCAGTGCCTTCTTCACTTCTCTCCTCATTACTGTTGTTCTCTCTGGGAGCTTTTGGGACACAGGACTTTCATTGTCTCCAGTTTGTTTCCCGATTTTGCCACATAGTCGAATATTGGTGGCTTTTTTGGGTGGATATATTGTTTGGTATTGATGATTTTGGGGGTCTTCAAAAAAGTAATAAAATTCTCAGAAAGGGAACCACACCTCCGAACTTCTCCCAAAAGTCTCTCTGAACCTCTTTTTTTGGTGATTTCATTATTTTTTGAATATTTTGATTTTTTTGAATTTCAAAATATTCAAAAAAATTAGCCAATACAAAAATATTTTGAATATTTTGAATTTTTTGAATTTCAAAATATTCAAAAAAATTAGCCAATACAAAAATATTTTGAATATTTTGAATTTTTTGAAATTCAAAATATTCAAAAAAATCAAAAAAATTGGCCAATAGAAAAATATTTTGAATATTTTGATTTTTTTGAATTTCAAAATATTCAAAATATTCAAAATATTCAAAATATAATGAACTTCTCCCAAAAGTCTCTCTGAACCTCTTTTTTGGTGATTTCAATATTTTTAAAATATTTTGAATATTTTGAATATTTTGAATTTTTTGAATTTCAAAATATTCAAAATATTTAGCCAATACAAAAATATTTTGAATATTTTGAATTTTTTGAATTTCAAAATATTCAAACTATTCAAAAAAATTTAGCCAATACAAAAATATTTTGAATATTTGAATTTTTTGAATTTCAAAATGTTCAAAATATTCAAAAAAATTAGCCAATACAAAAATATTTTGAATATTTAGAATTTTTTGAATTTCAAAATATTCAAAAAATTTAGCCAATACAAACATATTTTGAATATTTTGAATTTTTTGAATTTCAAAATATTCAAAATATTCAAAAAAATTAGCCAATACAAAAATATTTTGAATATTTTGAATTTTTTGAATTTCAAAATATTCAAAATATTCAAAATATTCAAAATATAATGAACTTCTCCCAAAAGTCTCTCTGAACCTCTGTTTTTGGTGATTTCATTATTTTTTAAATATTTTGAATATTTTGAATTTTTTGAATTTCAAAAAATTCAAAATATTCAAAAAAATTAGCCAATACAAAAATATTTTGAATATTTTGAATTTTTTGAATTTCAAAATATTCAAAAAATTTAGCCAATACAAAAATATTTTGAATATTTTGCATTTTTTGAATTTCAAAATATTCAAAATATTCAAAAAATTTAGCCAATACCAAAATATTTTGAATATTTTGAATTTTTTGAATTTCAAAATATTCAAAATATTCAAAAAAATTAGCCAATACAAAAATATTTTGAATATTTCAAATAAAATTCAAAAAAATTAGCCAATACAAAAATATTTTGATTTTTTTGAATTCAAAATATTCAAAAAATCAAAAAAATTGGCCAATCGAAAAATATTTTGAATATTTGGAATTTTTTGAATTCAAATATTCAAAATATTCAAAATATTCAAAATATAATGAACTTCTCCCAAAAGTCTCTCTGAACCTCTTTTTTGGTGATTTCATTATTTTTAAAATATTTTGAATATTTTGAATTTTTTGAATTTCAAAATATTCAAAATATTCAAAAAATTTAGCCAATACAAAAATATTTTGAATATTTTGAATTTTTTGAATTTCAAAATATTCAAAATATTCAAAATTTAGCCAATACAAAAATATTTTGAATATTTGAATTTTTTGAATTTCAAAATATTCAAAATATTCAAAAAATTTAGCCAATACAAAAATATTTTGAATTTTTTGAATTTCAAAATTTTCAAAATATTCAAAATATTCAAAATATAATGAACTTCTCCCAAAAGTCTCTCTGAACCTCTTTTTTGGTGATTTCATTATTTTTTAAATATTTTGAATATTTTGAATATTTTGATTTTTTTGAATTTCAAAAAATTCAAAATATTCAAAAAATTTAGCCAATACAAAAATATTTTGAATATTTTGAATTTTTTGAATTTCAAAATATTCAAAATATTCAAAAAATTTAGCCAATACAAAAATATTTTGAATATTTTGATTTTTTGAATTTCAAAATATTCAAAATATTCAAAAAGTTTAGCCAATACAAAAATATTTTGAATATTTTGAATTTTTTGAATTTCAAAAAATTCAAAATATTCAAAAAATTTAGCCAATACAAAAATATTTTGAATATTTTGAATTTTTTGAATTTCAAAATATTCAAAATATAATGAACTTCTCCCAAAAGTCTCTCTGAACCTCTTTTTTGGTGATTTCAAAATATTTTGAATATTTTGAATTTTTTGAATTTCAAAATATTCAAAAAATTTAGCCAATACAAAAATATTTTGAATATTTTGATTTTTTTGAATTTCAAAATATTCAAATTATTCAAAAAAATTAGCCAATACAAAAATATTTTGAATTTTTGAATTTCAAAATATTCAACATATTCAAACAAATTAGCCAATACAAAAATATTTTGAATATTTAGAATTTTTTGAATTTCAAAATATTCAAAATATAATGAACTTCTCCCAAAAGTCTCTCTGAACCTCTTTTTGGCGTCTGGGAGATTGCTTTCAATTTGAAATGGAATCAAATAGTCAACGGTCAAATAGTACATGAAGGTCCATCGTACATATACATATATATATACATATATATATATACATATATATATACATACATATATAATTACACATGTTCTTGTCTATGTCCTTTTTGTATTTTTACTTGTGGATTGCCTCGCCCCTTTTCGAATGGAAGAGTGAAGACAGAGCACCTGGCACAGCACCGGTGCTCTTCAGAGGGGTCCAGGGGAACCGGTGTCTAAAAAAAAAACCAGAGGACATCACTATTTGGGGATACTCCGCAAGAAAAAAAACAAACCCGGGTTGGAAAATTCAGAACCCAAATAGTTCACAGGAAACTGTGAACATTGTCAAGTGAATGAAGCAACATCTGCGCAACATAAGCAAGAGAACCGGATGATGAAGGGAAACTTCTGGCGTTCACCAGCCCCTTGTACTTAAATCAACCCCTTGACACATATGCTGGTCTGTGGAGAAGATGGCTCCAGCATTTCTGAAGCTGCAAATCACGACCCACAGCTTGCAATTGCTGGAAAAATTGAATTTCCATGCAGGAAAGCCTTTTGCTTCTCTCTAAGGTAGACATTCATCATCCATTCATCCAAGTTTCTTTCACCAGCATCTGGAGATTTCTTAAGTCATGGGGGATCCCCAGTCGTCACCATAGTTGTTTCAATACTAAGTCACGGTCATCCATTTTCCTTGGATAACTGGGGATACCCCCATGACTTATCATGACTTATCATTACTTATCATGACTTATCATGGCTTATCATGGCTTGTCATGACTTATCATGACTTGTCATGACTTAGGACACCACCATTTTCCAATCACCGCCATGTTGGCTGTAGCGCCACGGCATCCCGTTTCGCTGCAGTTCATCAGTGGCGCTGTCGAGGTCTTCAATGTGACCAGCTGGTGTCGGGTCTACGAGTTGAAGCAACGGGTGAAGGATGCATGGAGCTGGGCTGATCAGTTGGAAAAGGACCCGACTACGGTGATTTTCATGGCAAATGGTCAGGAACTGAAGCTTGGTGGCCGAAAAAATGTCTACCTTTTTTGGTTCGCAAGATATGAGTTGTTTGTTTCTAGTTTTTTTTTCCCGGACGAAAGTGCATATTCAAAACAACATGACCAGAATATCTTTACACTTTTATTCGTTTGAGTTTCTCTAAATTTAGTTGTTCCACATCTTCATGACTCACCAGGAAGGATGAGGAGAAGATCCTGGAACGGAGCCTTGAGACAATGGACTCCAACATTTCGGTGTATTTCAGCCTCCACCAGGCAGAATGTGGGAGTCACTCAGAGGCCGCTGAGCTGGGCTTGCAGCTAGAGTCCATCCAAGTGCTGCGAATTCCTCAGCTGACGGCCATTGAGAGTAAGGCCTTTGCTGGTAGCGGCTGTGCGGTGGTGAAGCTGGTGATACCTGACTCGGTGAAGATCATTGGTCCAAACGCCTTCAGAAATTGTGCCTTGAGCGAGCCACATTGGAGGTTCAAACAATGACCCACTTGGATGATGTCAGTTTTGGGGCGCCCAAAGACGGTTTGGATAGAGTTGTTGAACACGTTTGACCTCTCCACCCTAGCGAATTCCCGATATATTAAATTGGAGTTTCGGACATGTTCCAGGCCCTGTCTACCAGGTGACCGCTTAGAAGCTGTGAAGTTGCCAGAGTCCCTGATGGAAATCGGTTCGGGTGCCTTTAGAGGCTGCAAGTCGCTGAAAAGGATTGTGATCCCAGAGTCCGTCACAGTCATTGAAGCCGAAACTTTCTATGGTTGTGAAGCCTTGAGGGAGGTGGGGTGGGTTCAAAAAAAAGGAGAGACCCATTTACCAAATGTTGGAAAAAAGGGAAACGGATGTTCATCTTGATGATCCTTAAAATGGGAAGTGGAATGTTGGCACAGGTGATCTTGCCGCAATTTTGCCAAAGCATCGGGAGATTTGCCTTTGAAGATTGCAAGCAGTTGGTTGGGATCGACATCCCTGACACGGTGACCTTCATTGGACCGGCGGCGTTTCGAGCTTGTCCTTTGAGGAGCCTCAAGATCCCCAAGAATGTGACGGAAATTGAGTGCTGCCTGTGTCAAGATTGCTGTTCATTGGAAAGAGTGGATTTCCCGGAGACCTTAACTGCGATTGGAGCTGCATCTTACATTTGCCAAGGTGATTTTATTTTGTTCCAGCTTTTTAAGTTCCACTTGTAAATCCACATTTTGGAGATTTGATATCTATTGGCAATATTTTCCACATTTTGGATATCTGTGGGGAAGATGTTTCATCTTTTTGCCTCAAATTGCAGGCATCTTTTGAGGATTGTTCATCCCTAAAACGCGTGCAGATTCCTTCCTGGGTGACTCGAATTGATGACTGCGCCTTCGAAGGCACTGCTATCGAAAGTGTCTTCGTGCCCCGCTGGGCTGTCCTAGATCATCCCTTTCCAGCTAAGACCAGCATTTTCATCAGCCAGGCGGAAAAAGCTTGGTTAGGGTAGAGTTCATCGGCAATGATTACTGTATGGATGCCTGCTGTTTTCAGTGAGGTTTTTTTCACCTCCTGAAGGGCGGTTTTTTCCTCACTGGCAGCAGTTCTGAAAAACCATCAGGTCTGGATGTCATGTCCACAAAGCCCGCCCTGAGAAGTTGGAGTTGAGCACCCGCGAGGAAAATCCTGTTGTTTCCTCAGGGATTCCAGGCTACGCCGGCTACGTGAAAGTGCCTGCCAACAATTGGCAGCTGAGTAGTCAGCGCTACACATCAGTTCTTTTATCTACGATAGGTGATGTTAATTATGTATAATATTGTATAATTATGTTGGGTGATCTGTTTTTGGAGAACCGTGCAATATCTCAATCCTTTCTTTCACCATCAAAAAACAGGTCGGCTTGGAGATTTGGGATTAACAACTGGGATGATCATCAACTTTCACTGAATCCAAACCGCAAACCAAGGGTTCAGCATTGTCACATTTGGGGTCCTGTGTGGAGTGTCTTCCTGTGGGCCATTTTTCACATGGCTTTTTCGGGGATTTCCCGTGGCAGGCCCACCTACACCTCCAACCATCTCGGAGACGTCTTTGTCGTGCAGGAACTCAACAGAGCACCGGGAAAGGGATCCATGGGGATTTCACCCGCCAAAATGGGGGGTTGAAGCCTCAAAAAACCGAGAGGGGCGCGCAACACTTGAAATATGTACAACGAAAAGATGGTAACCCGCTCAATTTCCCCGGTACCCCATCTTTTTGTTCAACCATATTTGGGATGAGGGACAAATACTTTTGGGATGGGTTGAAAGCAACAACCAGGGAGAAAATCCGGGCATTTTGAGTTTTTTCGGACATTTTTGGACCAGAGAATTTGATCATTAATTGTTGAATGTTCGCAAGACCCACTGTGAGAGAAACAGTTTCAAAAACCGACAAAACATTCTTACATTGTTTTGAAAATTGTTTGAAATTGTTGGAAAATTGTTTGAAAATTGTTTTTTTTTTTTTTAAACAATTTTATGAAAATTGTTTGAACATTGTTTTTTATCAAAAAGATATTTCAAAACAATGAAAATTGTTTTAACATTGTTTTTATTCAAAATATGTTCAGAACAATTTTACGAAAATTGTTTAAACATTGTTTTTTTGTCAAAAAATCTTTGAAAACAATTTTATGAAAATTGTTTAAACATTATTTTTATCAAAAAGATCTTTGAAACAATTTTATGAACATTGTTTAAACATTGTTTTTACCAAAGATCTTTGAAAGCAATCTTTATGAACAATGTGTGAACATTGTTTCTTGAATACACACTATTTTAGAACAAGCGTATGAGCATTGGTTTCTTGTCCTTCATCACAATACAGTACATTTGTTTGATGTGTTTTTTTGTAATCAAAAAATGTTCAACAGTTTCACGTTGTTGTTCTTATATTATATCATTCACCATTTCGCATCGTTGTGATCTACTATCAGAGCTGGTTTTTGCAATTGCATCTGCACCATGAGCTTTGCAAGTTTCATTGAAGCTGTATTTGATGGATTTTTTCAAATCATGTTGACGGTCTTGGACCTGGTTGTGCGTTGTGACATGATCGTGTTGCCGCGCTGGTGTTGTCACCTGGTCTTGATCTCCTAGATGCAGTTTTGGGCTCAAGATTTTCAAGTGTCTAAATTGCTGTCGCCATCATGTCGACTCGCTACTGTTACCTCTGTCTGATGGACGTCTTGTTTACTCCGTGGCTCGATGACCCTGATGTGGCACCAACAAAGGCACTTGCAAAAGATTGTCGTTGTGATTGGGAGCATTCGATTCATGTCCCGCTCTCTCCCCCAAGCAGCCCATCCTTGCCCAAGGCGAACCGTCGCAAAAAAAAGCTTGAGAAAAAGGAGAAGAGCTCAGACAAGCAGTGAAGGCCATGGATGATCAACATTTAGTTGAGATTGCCAGGCAATATGGGGGCAACCTGCCAGCTCCAGAGGCAGCTGGCCTCAGGCCCGGTTTTGGCGTGCAGCCAGTTCCTGACGACCAGGCTGGCCCCAGGCCGGGTTTGCCTCTGCGCCGTAGAAGCAAAGGCGCTTTGCTACGATTGCTCGGAACGAAGCAAAACTGTCAGACCTTGCGATCCGCAGCATTCCGAAAGCAAGCTGCCCACGCCAATAGCACTGGCCGAAATCGCACCAAAGATTTTGTTATACCAGATTCTTCAAGTGCAAAAAGGCAGACCCCAAGAGGAAAAGGCAAGTGGAAGCAATGGACCCCAGATGCGGTTCTCAGAGCGGCTTTTGCCAAAGAGAATATGGTGATACGACATGTCGCCGAACAAGTGGATGGAGGCAGCGCCAGTCATGCCGCCGATTGCAAGTTTTTTGCCTCTGAATTGATCATGCGGGGACAAAGGGATGGCTTGTCCAAATTCCTCGAGGAGGCGCTGAAAGATGTTGGGATGTTTGATTTTGCGCTGACCAACATGATCTTTGATGAGACGGAGCTGGAAATAAATCTGAAGTCCTTTGGACTCGGGTCCTGGTCGATCCTTGCTTCTCATGCTCAGATGACTTTCTGTGTCAATGACCAGACGCATGATTTCGATTTTATCCGCGCACCTGCGGCCCTTCCCAACAAACAGGCAACCACTATGTGGCCCGCACTCTGCGCAGGCGAGGGGGGCCTCTGGCCGGGTTTGTCCGCAGTGGCAGCCAGGGTCAGGGCGGTGCTGGTTACCTGCGACGCGGCTCCAGCGAACATCAAGCTCCTCTCGCACCTGCAGAGTGTCCTGGACCAAAGGACGTTGCTTCTCCCGCTCTTGTGTCTCCAACACAGAACGGGGAATGTCATCGAGCGAGTCACTAAGCTGTTGGGCGTGTTGACCGGAAGTTTTTCTGTGGCCAAGACATTACGTTCCGGCAGCGTTGTGAAAAGGCTAGCTGGTCACGTTCGAGACGTGCTGGCAGAGAATCTTCAGGTCTTTGACCGGGTTCCTCCAGGCGTTGTTGAAGAGTGGGCCGCTGGGCAAGCGTGTGCCAAAGCTATCTTTAAGCTTGTGCTGCAAGGGCGCGACGACGACAAAGCCAGCGGCGCCTGCCAAAGATTTTTGGATTTCTTCGCAAGCCCTTGGACAGGACCGACTGCTGGGGAGGGCTCGGGCCAGTGACTTTGGGGAATTAACGGACGCTGGAGCAGTTGTTGCGTTTTTTTAGTGCTGCGGTTTCAAACCAGGTTTGATAGGTGGTAGAAGATGGTAGAAGCGTCAAAGAATAGATGATGCATATGATTATATAAATATAATATAATTATATATATATGGTATTAATATTCTATTCATGTTATGTTTTTCTGTACCATATTTGACCTGACGTATGCAGAGAGCAGTGTGCAGCGTGTTTAAATGTTGCAAAGTTGATGTGCTTTTGGAGCAGCCTTTTTTGCTTGCTCAAATTTCCCTCGCGGTCGAGCCAGCTTCCACGACTCTGTGTCTCATGGTGGTCAAGGTGGTGGAGAAGGTAGGGAGGCCTACAGAAACCGACGTCGTGGCGAATTATGGTCTGTCTGCCATTTTCCACCCAGGTGACTTGCGATGTCAGACTGCGGCTGGCCTCTGGCCGAGTTCTGATCTCCGCGAGAACCCTTTGAGCCTGACTACCGCCTTGAACAAGTCCAAGGGCATCCTCGTGGCTGACACCTATGGTGGCGTTGAAGCCTATCGATGGGCACGAGATGCCTACAATGCCAGGCCATCTGTTTGTTGTTAAACACTAATGGTTAAGTTAGTCTCCAGTTAATGTTTTGTTTTGTGTACCTTGTCCTTTTTTGTTTTTGAATTGAGCAGTTCCCAATCAGGCACCCGATGCATGTGATGGTCGATATGTCGGCCTCCGTGCCTGGTTGCAATGGCAGGCTTTGGCTTGGAGGTGAGCAGGCCAGCACAGACGTAGGTCTGCTCGAGAAAAACGGCATTTCTGTCGTGTTGCCAGCTTCGCGCACTCCTATCCCGGCTGAGAGCCTCAACCACGTGGTCCTTGACTACATTGACGGGACGGCCTTAGCGAATGAGGACTACGACTTGTCCAAGTTCCTTAAGGTCGCTGACCAGGTTGTGGACTTGCTGAAGAAAGGCCACGGGGTCTGAAGTTCATGCAGAAACGGAGCTCATCGCAGCGCGACAGAGACGTGCGTTCTGATCATGCGACTCACTGGGTGGCCGTATGAGCAAGCAGAAAATTACATCTGCACTCTTCGAAACTGCGTGGATCTAAATTCTGTAGCGCCTCCGTCTGCTCACAGGAGGCATCCGGTTCGTCCGTCCGAGTTCCTCAAGAAGCACCAGGAGACGATCCTGGATGGACACTACGGCCTTGCAGTGAATGACATTGTCACGCCTGTGGCATACCGCAAGAAAATGCTGGACCTGGGTTTCGAATCCATTTCGACCAGGCCTAAGGCCAAGCCTGCCAAGGCTATCAGACGAGATTCTGGTTACTCGTCTTTTGAGCTTCTGACGGATCCGGCCAGTGCCAGTGGCCAGGAAACAGCCAAGGAGGTTGAGTTGGTTGCAGAGGATGTCCTAGGTGGAACCACCTTGAGTTCAGAAGGTGGGTCTTTGACCTCGTCTTCTGTGGCCTCTGGCCAGGTCCCTGAGCCAAAGGATCCACCCGCGCAGTCCCATTCACCTGGCAAAAGAAAGGAGTCTGAGGCAGAGGACGACTTTGCCGAGTTTGAAGTGGTTGATGATGATTTGGATACGAAAGAGAAGCGAGCGGCAAAGTTGACTTCATTGTGTGACGACCTGCAGACCCTCAATGCCTCGATGCTGAAGCTCCTGCACCCCAAAGAGACCTCCAGGCCACAGCAAAAGGCTATGCCAAAGCCGCCTTCGGAAGCGAAGAAGGATGAGGTGAAAGCCGAGAACAAGATGGACAAGATGGATGTCGACGAGGGTGCGGCTTCCCCGGCCAAGGTTGTGGCTGCATCCAGTTTCTAGGTTGTAGTTTATTCATTATTTTTTGTTTTTTGGGGTTTCAACTGATAGCTGGGTCTTAAACGAGTAATTAGCAAGAATATAATATATCATAATTATATAGTCATCAATTGTTTTGTGTTACTATATGGGAACATTCTTGTAAGTTGTAAGCTTTTAGGCTTATAGGCTAAAGCGTATAGGTCCAAATTGTTGTATAATAGTTGAAAATGTGCAGAGTTTTTAAAATTCACTGGAATGTCTTGCTATTTTTGTGAGGCACTGAGGAGCCCTTTGAGCCAGATTACGACCCAGACGACCCCGAGCCAGAAGAACCAGCCCCCTCACCTCTGAAACCGGATGAAAGTGAGCAATCCGAAGAAGTGATGAAGCGGGTCTTGCGCTTGCTCGAAGAACAGCGCTTGCATAGCCACGCCTTTTTGGCGAAGTCCTCGAGGCAGGATTCATTCAGCGAGAATCAGGAAAGGATCTTTGCGGCGCTCATGGGTCCTACGCCTCTGGCGGTGTTGCCAATGCTTGATGATATGGCTGCCAGCCAGGCCCTGCTGCTCAGGGACAAGAATGGCATGAGCCTCTTGCACTTCTCTGCGCGCCTTGGCTGCTGGGAGGTCATGGACCGCATGTTGCAGATTAATCCTCAGCTCTGTGACCAGATGACGTCGCCAGTTGGTCGTCCTGCACACTGGTCTCCCCTGATGATCTTGATCGATGCGGGGCACGCGCGGGATCCACAGACCTTCAGGTACATGCTGGCGCGTTTGCTACAGGAGACCAGTTTGACGACCATCGAGGCCAGGGGTGCCAATGGGACTTCTGCCTTGCACATGGCGACGAGCAAAGGCATGTTCAACGCCACCAAGCAGATCCTGTACGCTGTGTACAACAAAAGCAGGGCAGACTTGGCGGCCTTCGGCCTGGTTACTTCCATGCTGAACACGCCAAATGGTCGCGGTGCTGGCTGCGTTTCTGGGTTAAGGTTATTAATTGGGTTATATTGTTTTAGTTTTGGTTGTGTTGTTTCTTTTTTTGACGGTGTCGATGCAGCAGTTTGAAATTTGCAGGTTGATCTGGCACTGCGGTGCAACGTGGATTTGGCCATGTACCTGCAGAACCAGTGGAACGCACGTCCTCTTCTCCCGCCACGTGCGGGGTATCGCAGCCGGGATTCCAACACACAGTGGTTGGAGAAGAACCCCTGGTACAGCAGGGACAGGGATTTGTGAGCAGGCCTCTGGCCAGGTTGGATATGCGGGGAACGGTCTCACAGCTTTCTCAGACCATAGACGCCTTTGCCCCGTAGGCCTGTTTTGCGGGCAGCACAAGCAAATCAATATTAGGTCATATATGAGTATTATTGGCGAATTGTCGCATTGTTTTGCACATTTTAAATCAGTAGAGCATGTGTATCTGAAACTTGTGTTGTGCAGCCTTGTGGCCTGGTTTTGCAGAGCGTCCCGCGTCCAGCCGACTTCCTCTGGCAAATTGCCAGATCTTCCGCTTGCGAGCGTGAAAAAAAAAGCATGAGTGAGAATGCAGAGGTTTTTTTCAGTTGTGTTTTTTTAAAGGTAGAAAGTTCAACAACTGCAGTTTTCAGTTTCATCAAAGAATGGTGCTGGTTGCTTCTTTGTTTCCCTGTCAGGACCGCCTTGCCACATCTGCTCCGGGTGCTGCGCTAGCAGACTGGAGTCCGTGGATCGAGCGGCGGCCCTTTTTCAAGAAGTTTTTCTACATGCGCTGACAATCCCGGCGTTGAATAAGTGGACGACCGTAGCGCCGTCTATGACCTTGGTCGCAGCGATGCAGCAGTGCTACGACGTCGTCCCGCAGGCCTTTGGTCGGTGTTTTGCACGCGGCCAAGCAGAAGAGTCCAGCGACGACTCTGGGGGTGAAGACGCTGCATTAGGGGTTCCCAGAGACCAGACAAAACAATGGAGGAAGCTAGCTAGAAAGAGGCAACAGAAGGCCGCCTTCTTTTTGCAGGATCAAGAGTCCCGTTTCTTGACAATGCTCTGGGGCATTGTGACGTTCTGCGTCATGACCGTTCACTACTCCTTGTTCAAGCGGGGAACTTGGCTCACAGAGCGCGTTGAAGATGAGACAGACGCAAACCTTTCATTTTTTTTAGCAACCCAGCAGCCAGTCCAGCTGCCCGAGCCAGTTCTGAGATCGCTTCGCTGTTGGACTCTGTCCAGGTTGACGCCTGGATTCCTTTGATTGGTTTGTATGGGCCTCTGCTCTCGTGGCCGCAGAGGAGGTTGCGAAGCACCAGGCGCTGCTTGCTTACGGAGGTTGGCCAGCTGTACAGGAAGTTGCTTGAACCATGGAAACGTTACCCCTGGAAGCTCGTGGAATTGCCACTGATGGAAGAGGCCATGAGGTTTCAAGCTGCATAAGATTTCTTTCGGGTCCGTGACTGCTGCCTGGATGGCTTCAGTGCAAAGCTCAAGACAGTGGTGGAGGATCCTCGTGGCCTGGTGGCTGCCAAAACTTTGAAGTTTTTAGCCTCTGTCTTTGACCGGTTGGTGCCAACGTCCACCTGCATTGAGCGGGCTTTTGCTAGACTAAGCAGATGGTGTGACCGTAAGGGGCCGAAACCTCAACTGCCCACGCTTGCCGCAAAAAATGCTGTGTATCATTTTCGACACCTGACAGATCACTGGCGGGCCAAAGCTCGAAAGCTTGGTGTTATCCGCAAAGGCAAGAGTCACCGATGTAGGCCTGACTGGGCCCATGGTGTACGCAAAGGATGGTGTCGCAATGGGTTGCACATGTTTGCCAGAGAAAATGGTTTGAATCCTTCCGATGATTTGGCTCGTCAGTGGCGCTTGCAGCCTCGTGCAGAGAGGAGGCGCTTTGCCGCGCTGGCTAGAGCTTCTAACTTGCAGGCAAGAACTTTGCAGAGGTGCGACGCAAGGGCTGCCCAAGAGTCTGCTGCCCTTACTGGCGGCTTTTGGAATATGAGTGCAAGCACTGGCTTCCCAATGGCCAAATCGATCGTTGCAGGACATCTGCATTCTCTGAAAGATTATGCCAGAAATTTCCGCGTTTCCACTGATTCGCTGCTTCCTGAGAGCCCAAATAGTTTTGCTGGCGCACCAGCAGTGCCCTTTTCATTGTGGGCCTCGTGCCAGGTTGGAGCTTGCCCTCATGAACTGACGGCCCCCCAGCAAGAATGCTTCTGGTCTTTGCATGAAATGTTGGTGCTAGTGATTGGCAGCCAAAGCCCGGATCCCACGGTTGCATCAAAGGAGCCGCTTGTTCTGGAATTTTGTTCTCAGAGAGCTGCGGCGTCCCGCCAAGTTGTTGTTGCTTACAACACGCGGAAGAAACCCATTGATGCAGCGCTCATCGCTCTGCGTCCGCTCCCTCCATCTGAAGTTCCGCATCAGTTTCTTCAAAGTTTGGCATGCGAGACAGGCGTAGATGGACAATTTCCTTTGGTCGGGGACGTGCCAATGTGTGTCGAGCTGGCAAGCCAAGCGACTGATTGGGAGTTGTTTGTTCTCTCTGTTGGTCCTATCACAGACCTTCATCTCTTCCATATTGTAGCTGCTAAGCGTGTAGATTTCGTAGCCCTGATGCTTGAAGTTGGAAGCGCCAGAGAGACCAAAAAGGCTTTAGATGCTTTGAAAAAAATGGAGAAGAAAAAAATGGCTGCAAGCCAATCCAGCAGCCATAGGGCAGGTGGAGAGCGGCAGGGACCGAGCAAAGGACGTGGCAAGGGCAAAGCTGCCAAAGGCGCAATGGAGAGAGCAAACAGACCAGACACGCATGGAGATCGTGACGACGCGCTTGATGACGGAGGCTCTTCGCAGTCGGACGAGGACTCTGTTGCTGATGTAGACGATGCTGAGGTTGACTTGTCGCTTGCCCCTCCTCCTTCCTGCCCGCCTCTGGCGTCGGTTGCTCCACGACGCCGCAACGTGAGACGCGGGCATGTTTGGGGCTCCAGCCCAGCATTTCAAATCGCTCCCATCCATGCAGCAGGCAGTGCGGAGCCCACAGGATTTGGTGCGATTTGCGGCATGCACCATGACCCCGCCAACCCAACGCTGCAGTGCAAAAAAGCCATGTCTTGCGGAGGCCTGACCCCTGAGGAGTGCAAGCTTCGTTTGAAGCGCTGGCTTGTCGCCGGGTTGGATTCCGGCAGGTGGGGCGCCAACAAGCGAGAGAGCCATGTTAGCATGGGCGGCGTTCAGCTGTCCCATTTCGCTGAAGGCCTGAGTTTGGAAGACTTAGACAGAGCGGTGAGCCATCAGGAATAAAAAGGTTGCTTTTGTCAGCCTGCCTCAGCAGCCATCAGCGTGCCCACAATCAATCACACGACATATGATATATTTTATATAATATATATATAATATATGTTCGCGCTTCAATTTCTACACAGCAAATGTTTGTAACAAAAATGGTAACGATAAATAAATAGACTAGATAAATACTTAAGAAATAAATAAATAAATTATATATTTTGATAATATTGTAATGTTTTTGTCAAAACAATCGTAGAATGTTTTGTTTTTATTTTCCGTACACAAATGTAGTTTTCCGTACACAAAACCTACTTTTCCGTACCCAAAATGTACTTTTCCGTACACAAAAACCCGTCAAAACATTTTCAAAAATAATTATAAATATATATAAATATATATAAAATATTATAAAATCATTTCTCTTTTTTTACAAATTATGTTCCAAATGTTTACAAATATATCCCAAATATTGTTCTAATTCTCTTAACATGTTTGTATTTATGTCACTGCTTTTGTGAGCGCGTCAAGATTGTTTCTTTGCTTGTCTCGCCTCTGGCGTTGTTCACACCGCGCTCCTTGTAGCCCTGTAGGCCCAAATAATTGACGTGAAATAATCTTTGGGGATTTTCTCGCCATGTCTCCTGACGCGGAGTCAGTGTCTTCTTCTTCGTCTTCCAGCTCAGATGAATCCGGCGCTCCTCCACCTCCGCCTTCGTCTGTGGGTTCGTCGGGTGGCGCTTTGAGGGTGTCCTATACTTCCAGAAAGTCTCGTCACTGCACCCTGTGCAATGCCAAGTCCACTGACCAGTCACCTCTGGATTATTCGGAGGATATTTTTCCAGAAGTGCAGGGAAGAATCCCGTGGAGATCTTACGAGAAGGTCAAAATGGATGACGGAGAGCAAGTTCGTGTGCCCTCTGGAAAGCTTTGCTTGATTTGCTTCAACGTCTACAGAGCCCTCGGTTTCTTTGCCGCATGCTTATCACCTCGCCTCTGGCGTTGTTTCCAGCTTTTCACATTCAGACAGGTTTCCATGGATGGAGGCAGCTTTTGTTTCGTACAGTGTAGTAATTTGTTACTGAAACTGTAGCCGTAAATGTTTTCTTCATTGCAGCTAAGGTTTGCAGGCCACGTACAAGAAAGTTGAAGACTACTTCAACTGGGTCTCCGTGAGAAAAAATCAGGCCGAGCACGTTTCGTTCCTAAATGCAAGAAAGGATTGGATCAAGCAGCACAATGAAGGAGGACCCGACTGCAAGAGATTGCAGAGCAAGAAGTCCCTTCTTGAAGCCAAGAAGACCCTCAACGTTGTGCGCAACGTGGGCGGTCGGTTTATCGCTCCCAAGAAGAAGTTTGTGGAGAAGGACAATTGGAATGAAAAAGAGCACGGAGTCTTGGACCCAAACAAGGTCGTGACCGAACATATTTTCGGCAAAGAAATTCAGGGCTGCTGGATCTTGAAAGGGAAGAAAGGTGAATACGATTTTGAAGAGTACCAAGACACCGCTCTGCAAGAAAAAGAGCAATTGCACAATTCAGCAGATGCTCCCTTTTCTGAAGAAGCTTTGGGCCGCAAACGCAAAGCCATGATGGACGAGTTCGTGGAAAGCTCCACTACGAGAGACAAGGCCAGTGTGGAAGGCCAAGAATTGCCCATGCAAGGTTTGCTTGCAGCCATCCAAATGGGACATGATCCATCTTCTGGTTCCACTGGTGAGGCGGTTTCCACCGTTTCCGCCTCCGGCGAGGTTCAAAGCCATGAAGCAGAAGAGGAGTCCACCAGCGACTGCGCGTCAGAAGAGGAAGAGGCCCGCCCAAGCCTTTCGTTCGCCCCCCGACCGCCGAAGGCCAAAGCCCATGGCAAGCCTGCGGCGAAGCCTCAGGCTAAAGGAAGCACGCAGCCGTCGAAAGCTCCAAGTTCTTCTGTCGTGCCTGTCCCTGCACCCAGTGCGCCAGCCGCCAAGAAGACCACCAAGACAGAGCCTGCTCCCAGCAAAGTTCCCAGCAAAGGCACAAAAGCTTTGCAACAAAGCGGCAGCGACCAAAGCTTAGAGAGCGCAGCGACGCTGCTTGCAGACGGTCGGGCCCAGAGGGCCTTGAAGAATTTGCAGGAGAGTGTTGCCAAATGGAAGTCCCAGCTGGCAGACATTCGGGTCGACGATGCGCCTCCTGCGCCTGATGCCCAGGCTCAGACCAAATTTAAGCAAGCGTGCATAGACAGAGCCAATGTTGCCAAGGCCTTGGCCCGGCAAGCCCGAGACTATGGCAAGCGCATGGACAAGAGTTCCAACAAGGACAATTTCTTAGGGGAGCTCGAGGAACTGCAAAAGGTGGAGTTTGCTGCTGTGGCTGTCCAGGCCTTGTTTCAGATAGCTGGTGCGCAAAATTCAGCTCCAACTGCTGTTGTCAAAGCCTTTGAGGATGCCAGCGAGCATGTTGATCTCTTAGGCTGCAACGCTCTCGGAGCAGGTTTCCAGCTCAAGTACGCTTTTGCAAAGGCGGGCTCGCATTGTTTGTACCAGGAGTACGAAAAGTATTGCGCCGCCTTCTTGGGGTCTTCTGAGTTGATGAAGGGCCTTGCCGAGAACATTGGCCAAGATAGTCTGCAGAACCACGTCATGGCAGAAATGGAAGGCCGCCTCACTTTGGCTTTGAGGACCATTAAGCCAACCGACGTCCAAGCTGTTGTCAATGGTCTTGAGGAGCCCTCCAATCTTCAAGAGTGCGCTGATCTGTGCAAAGCGGTCATGGACGTCGGTCAGAAACATGGCTCTGACTTTTTGGCTTCTGGCCTTGGCAAAGCTTGCACGATTGCCTTTGGCATAGTTAGTTCTGCAGATATTGAAGTAACCAATGACGCCCTCAAAGAGATTCAGTCATTCAGGGAGGGCGACGCAAAGGATGAAAAGCCAGGAGCTATTTTGGTTTATTTCCTGGAGCACACAGTTGGTAAATCCTTAGTGGATTTGGCCACTGGCCGGGTTGGAGCTGGGGAGACCGAAGCAGTTGCCACTGAACATCTCAAGACCTTGCAAGGAGAAGTGTCCAAATTGCAATCAGTGTGCTACGCAGGCTCAGTTGCCGGTGTCCAACTCATTTCTGCCGATTTGGAACCAGTAGACAAGCTTATTGGTGATTGCCAGAAAAGCATCGCATGTCTGAAGAGCGGCAAGGACACCAAAGGCAAGAATGCAAAACATGAGAAGGCAGACGCAGCAGAGAGCAAACAACGACATCGAGCGCATGATCGCCTGGTGGAAGCTTTGAATGAATACAAGGCCTCTTTCGCAGAGCGGGCGCGGGAACTTTTGCTGCAGGAGTTGAAAGCAAACCTTTCTGAGCAGTTGCTCCTTGGACTGGAAAACAGCTCTACGTTTTGAGTTTGTGCTTTGAACTGCCCGGGACACAAGTGACTCAAGTCTCTTTGTCATTGATATATATTGATATATAGAATCATATAGACATATACTAAGAGGTCATGCACGGTCTGTGGGGTATTTTCTTTCCCTGCGAAGGCAGACATGAAGTCGTAGTCCGCCTTCAGCGAACTATTCAAAGTCCCATGGTATTCCGAAAACTAATGTAATATTGTAAATCACATCATATCACTAAGTATCCAGTATACTCCAGCCTATTATCAGAATGCAAAAGCCTTTGGCATAGTTGTAATCTTAACCTTTCACAGACCCCGGTATTATATGAGTAGAAGGGCGTTCTTTTTCTCAACGTGTGACTTTGAGGCGTCATCTCTGCAATGCTTTGGACAGTGACTGCATGGTCACAGAAGAAGGCACTGGACAAAAAGCGCAGCTGATCGATTTGGAAGAGACCTGGCCATGCTTGAAGCACACAGCCGTCATTGCCCATTCGTTTTGGGCTACTTCGACGGCCTCTGGCCAAGTTAGCAAGGTGCTGCAGGATTACGAAAGCTTGTCAGTTCAGTTGTGTTCCATGGCCAAGTTTGTCTTTTTCCAAAGCCCGAAGTTCAAGGGAAATGCAAAGCAGCAAGTGGATGTTAGCGCTACGGATCTGAAAAGCTGGGTGGAAAAGCTTCCAGAAAAGTTGCTTGAATGGGTTGGCGCTGATTTGACCACCTCTATGAGAGTCACATTCTTGTCTGTTTGTGAGGAACACCAGCGCTCATTGTTTTCAGCAGGATTAGATGCCGTCGCTGACGTGGTTAAGAAATGCGTTGGTGGACCGCTGCCTGCGTGTGATAATCTCCTGCAGCAGCAGCTGCTGATGAAAATTCCGAAAGCGCATAGCCTCAAGCCTGTCGTCACAGCGTTTCTCAAGGCGTTTTCCCTTTTTCTGTCAAGTTATGGTACGCGAGGGGTTTTTGTGTCACAGAAATGAAATGGACATCGGGTCAAGTTTTCAGGTCAGGCTGTGCTTTCAAGCTAATTCACCAGCAGCCTGTATTGTCTGCAGTGTGCAGTAAATAACTTTTTGATAACTTATACACAGATAACACTTAACTTACACTTATATATATATATATATGTGTGTGTGTGTCATGTGTGATGTTTGGTTGCAACGCGTAGTCTTTTTTCAGCATGTCCTTTGCTCCTCTTTTTCCCCAGAAGAGCGTGTTTGCAGGTTGTGGGCCATGAAGGAGGCACCGATGACAAGCACAAGGAGGTGGTGGACCTGCATTCAACAGGCAATCTTCTTTGTGATGCTTTCGGTTTGCAACCGAATGAGGCGGATTTTGAGAAGAGCTGCTTGAAGGATGCGGTTCCTTGGCTGGAGGGTGTTGCTAAAAAGCTTGCAAGATATTTTCTTCAGAAGTTCGAAGACGCGACCGCCAAGTTGAACGCCGGTGTGAAGAAGGTGATTGCAATCAAGATGCCGAGCTTGGACATGGAGGACGAGTACCGGAAGCAGGGCGTGAGAGTTGTGGGTACCCTTGCTCAGCTCACGGCTGCGGTAGAGGACGACATCAAGACTTTAAGGGATGTGCGACAAGCCCTGTCCAACCTGAAAGGCGTCAAGTTCGCTCCGCAAGGGAAACCTCCAGCTGTGGAAGAGATATGCGCTTTCCAAGCAAGGTTTCAGGATCCTTTTGCTCCGGCAACTTACGAGCTTGATGCTGGCAAGCATGCAAAAGAAGCATCCTTCCATGTGGCCGCAGTGGCTGCGTTGTGCTTGCTTCGGAGTGACGGCATGAAAAAGGCAGACAGTAAGACTACCAAGCAGGTCGCAGATGTTGCTGTTACTTTGCGGGGCAAACTGGAGCTCGTGGCAGAAGATTCTGCGGATCTCAAGACAGCCGGCAAGCGATTGCTCGAGGAGTGTGAGACGTACGGAAAAGTCTCGCCAAGGGCAGCGAAAGCCAAGGCGGCGACAGAGACTAGCCACAGCTCGGCATCCAAGAAGTCGCGAGTCGCTGAGGCACAGGATGCCGGCAAGAACGTCAACAAGGAGGAAGCGTCCAAGAATGCGACAGACACTCAGAGCACACCGCCGCCAGAGAAGGCAGCTGCAATGGATTCTATCC